AGGGAGAAAAGAAAAAGAAAAAGATCTATCGCCCAGCAGTGAAACCTGCCCACAGTCACCCCTCCCGGCCCTGACCTCACCTCCTCTGCAGGGGCATTGTGTGTCTGCTTCTCCGAGTCAATATCCAGCTTCTTTGTTTTTGTTTGTTTGTTTGTTTGTTTGAGATAGAGTCTAGCTGCATCACCCAGGCTGGAGCACAACGGTGCAATCACAGCTGACTGCAGCCTTGACCTCCTGGGCTCAAGAGATCCTCCCACCTCAGCCTCCCGAATAGCTGGGACCACAGATGCCCACTACCATGCCCACTGATTTTATTTTTATGTGTGGTAGAGACGGGGTCTTGCTGTGTTGCCCAGGCTGGTCTCGAACTCCTGGCCTCAAGTGATCCTCTCGCCTCGGCTTCCAGAAGCACTGGGATTAAGTGTGAAACACTACGCCCGGCAGTGTCCAGCCTCTACACCATCGCAGCCCACCTCGGTAGCCAGAACTGTGGCATTGAGGCTGTTTTGACATTTGCCAGGCCCGTCAAAGGGAACTCGGGAAGTGCAGGTTGGCTTCAGGCTATGTCTAGTCTTTCCGCGTCTTGCAAAAGCCTGGGAGTGCGGAGAGCTCAAAACCATCGATCACAGTGGGTGTCTTTGCATCTGTTATGATCAGCGGCTCCCCGTGACCCATGAAGGGAGGGAAGCTTCACTGAGCACCTCTAACATGCCATGTCCTGCGCTGGGCCCTTCTGGAAAGGGATGTCATCAACTCCTCCCAACTATTCAGCAAGCAGGAATCGGTTTCTCCAAAAGGAATAAAGCATTTGACACAGGCCACAGCAGGAACAAACCTCGACATGACGCTCAGTGAAGGGAGCCAGACACAAACGGCCACACAGTGTATGGTTCCATTTATAGACGATTTCCAGAACAGACAAATCTGCAGGGTCAAGAAGTAGGATCGTGGCCGGGTGCGGTGGCTCACGCCTGTCATCCCAGCACTTGGGAGGCCAAGGAAGGTGGATCACTTGAACCCAGGAGGCCGAGGTTGCAGTGAGCTGAGATCGCACTACTGCATTCCAGCCTGGGGACAGAGGGAGACTCTGTCTCGGAAAAAAAAAAAAAAAATTGTATATATTTCGAATCACGGTTTCTGGGAGATGGGGGAGGGAAGAATATTCGAATATTTAGAAACCCCCATTATATTATGTAATTGAAGTATTTTTTTAACTCCCAAATGTGTGGGAAGTTCCTTTTACATTCATTCATTTATTATCTTTTATTTTATTTTATTTTT